AATTTGTAATTATTAAGCTTAAAATGGGTATTTTTTCAAAATTCTATTGCTTTTTCTCTCGATTTTACATTCTTATTACTTTAAAAAAGGATCAACAGAGAAAAATATTCTTATCTTTAATTAATTGCACGATTAACAAAATTCAAGATAATAATACATAATGGAAAATACACCTACTATTATGGAAGATCTTTCAAATAAACCCTCAAATTAATTAAGAAAAATGGGCTTTACTCATTAGATAGTCCATATGATATCAAGAAAAGATGATAAATTGACCAAAAAGAAAAAAGAAGATGAGAATTTAGAAAGATCATTTTCTATAATAAACTAAAACCAAAAAACCAATTAATTCTTCCATAAAACAAAGGTAGTGCAAAATAATTATGATAATGGAATCAGTTTAATATACAGAAGAATCCAAATAATTAGGTATTTCACAATAAGAATCCAACAATGACTTTTAAATAGACCTAAATAGATATTGCAATTTATGTAAAGTTGTCTTTAAAAGTAAGACAGGGTGAAAACAACACATTACAAAAAAACACCATTCTATCTTGTAATCAAAAAAAATAATAATTTTTGAGGAATCAATTCAGGTAAGTCAGATCTGTGCTGTTGACCATAATTACAAAAGCACAAAATCAAAAACGAGCATATTCTCTTAAACTATAAAATCATAAATTCCAAATTAATTAATCGTCCTCATATGGAATGTATCCTCAATGAAATATGATACTCTAAAACTGGCAAATAAACAGGAGCACATATAATATGCTTTCAAGAAACCAGAAAAGAAATACTAAACTCCCCTTCTTATACATAATATAATAAATTAATAAAAGAAAATCATACCAGGGGATGTGGGAAAGCAATCGGAGTTCACAATTAATTCTTCAAGAAAGATATTTCAAATATACTCCCTCAAATAGACAAATAATTAGAATGGTAACTGATCTAAATAACTGGATAAAAACTAGAAATACTCATATTGAATATCTACTCACCAAAAAAACAATTCTTCTAAAAATCAAAGAAATAATTGGAGACTTTTTTAATCAGCTTATTAAGGGTAAAACACAAAGCCATTCTTATTGTCTGTGGAGACATTAACCAATCGAAAATCTAAATGCTGCAATTAAAAGATCTAGTGCCATAAACTCAGCATACTTTTAGCACATTTAAATAGTCAAAGGTAGTAATAAGCAAAACAGACTGCCTAGTAATTAATGCGGATTTAGAAGCTAAATACACGTTCGAATAAAATTCTCTCTCAGATCATATAATAATAACTTCCAAAAATAGAGATCAAATAGTCACACCTCACTCCTAGACGATACTAATTCTATCCCATAAAACTCAATATTCTTTCTCTTATTATCCAATACTGCAAATCTAAGTCCTTTGCTGACTTCTATAATATTTTGAAATAGAACTCACACCGTATCAAAAGTTTAATAGAGCAAGAGATCAATTGAGGTAATTAAACCATTTTGAAGAATCATCATATAATAACACACTGAAGGAAATAGAGAAAATACTTAGAAATAATCATAGCAAGGAAGCCTTTCACATCCTTAATAGACTCGTAATCAGGAAACAAGTAAAAAAGAGATGAAGGTTTAATGAAATATTTACTTGATGGAAATGACCTGGTCAAAGATATATAATAAATTCTTTCAAATTGACTAAATTAAGTTAGTATTTTCTAAACAATTAAAAAATATTACCCAAAATAACAAAAAAAATAACTCTAGATTATTTCAAATTTATGAAAGAAAATGTCACAAAAAAAAAGATTAATTTTTGATCTAATTTATGATAATTTGATTAACATAGTATATACAATTAGATGTCAGGTTTATGGTAGCAATAAGTTGGTACACAAAACAGATATTTAAACTGAAAATAAGAAAAGTGTTAAAATTAAATTTTTAGAAATCTAGAAAATATAAATTAAAATAGTATAATTAATTTTTGTACTCAATCAAATTTAATAATAGTGTTATAATTATAAAATGAAAATAAATTAACTTAATGTAAAAAAGTAAAGTCGAATTGAGTATATAATCAAATTCTAAGTTTATTGTTGTAATTCTAAATTTTAAATAAATTGACCTAATTTACAAATAATAAAATCAAAGTGAATATCTAATGAAATTCTAAGTTAATTATTTAAATTATAACTTTTAAATATATTTACTTAATGTATATTAGTAAAATCAAATTTAGTATTTAATCAAATTCTAAGTTTATTATTTGTAT